GGGAGTTTGTAAATTCCACAATACCGCTGAGGTATACAAAGGCGCGTTACCGAAGTTAGTTTTGGGAGCTCGGTTCTCCCCTAGGCCTATATCACCCATATATCTATATATATTCTTGATCTGACAGTATTCTAAAGTTTTCCCGAAGGCCGCCCTCAGCATAAAGGAGTTCTACACGAAGGAACTGAAAACAACCCGGTTGTTAAATAATTAATTTACCAGCGGGTAGAGTTTTCAAGGCTTTATTGGGATTTGTACGATTGTGAACGGTTTGCTTGACTCCAAACCAAAATACGATAACTTTAAATATGAATAAACAAAGTTAGTTATAAAGGGAATGAATGATAAAGTAGAGATGACAAATATACAACTTAGATAACACAGTTTTGCCAGATCAAAACTTGACATTATTAGAAAATAGACTTAAGCTAATGTAAATAATCCTGCCCGGTCGAGTCGGTTGACTCGAAATCCTTCTTCTCTATCAATATCATCATCATTTCATATATCCTGTAGCGGTTCTCTACGTGACATTGCGGACCACACCATCAGCTCCGGTGAAGTGTTATCACTCGACCCAGGCACCAGTGAGTGGGAGGCAGGTTCTCTTGTTTGACTAGAACGATATCGTTCACCCTTATATTCCTCGTGCGATGAAACCATTTGTTCCGTCTCTGCAGACTAGTTAGATACTCCTAACTCCATCGTTCCCATAATCCTTGTTGAATTTGACGTATCCATTGCCTTTGTTTCAGCCGGTTGCTAGGAATATGTTTAATATTTGGCTCAGAGACCGCTAGAAGTGGCGACCCAATCAGGAAATCACCTGGCGTTAATGCAAGTTTCTCTTCAGGATCGTCTCAAATGATGCTTAGCGGACTTCACAGCAGCTTCCTAGAGACCTCCAATGTGTGCCCGAAACTACTAACGATCGCTGATTATTTTTACCCTGCCATACTGCGAGATCTTCCTTCAAGAGTCGGTTAGCACCAACAAGGGCTGTACCATTATCACTATATAAATAACAACAGGCACCGCGTCGGCTGACGAAACGAGTGAAAGCATCTAAAAAGGCCTGTGCCGATAGGTCCTCAACCACCTCGATGTGTACGGCTTTGGTGATCATGCATACGAATATTGCGAGATACGTCTTGATGAGCGTTCGAGAGCGTTTCGTTCCGATACGTAGTGTAAAACGCTCACAGTGATCGACACTAGATGATATGAACGGCCTTGCTGCTCTGATCCTCTGCCCGGGTAAGGAAACCATCTGTTGCTTCAGGACTTCCCCTCTACGACTCCAGAAGCCTTGACGAAGAGTATGCAGCATGAGTTGCGTGCCTCCATGCAGTGTAACCTCATGCGTCTGAGTTAGTAAAAGCTTGACCAGTGGCGTTGATTTAGGCAGAATAATCGGGAATCGTTGATCATGCCCTAGTTCGGCCTGGTGGATGCGTCCCCCGACACCGAGGATTTGGTTTTTGTCTGTAAATGAATTTAAAAATATTATCCGACTGGAAGATGACAAACCCGAACTGGACTTCAATTTTCAAATTTCATCTGCAAAATGCTCCTCTTGCTCTAAACAGAATATAGTTAATAATGCGTCCTCCAATTCCTGAGCAACGATCACCTGTTCACGAAAGTGTCGCCGCCTTCTTAACCAGCGCAGGATAATGGCCAATGTACCCAACAATCGAGTGACACTATTGAACCGTTCATTAAACGGAATAGTATGTCCATTTAGACGACGAGTATATAAATTTGGTTGTTTTTCGGTTTTCGACGAGTAAGAAAACCCCCATCTCTGCTTCCTTAGGTCCATGCCACCAAAGGGGATGTACTAATAGCTCGGCGAGTGTGATGCCTCTATTGTCACAATCGGCTGGGTTCTGAGCCGAACGAATGTGATGGCATCGGGCGGGGGATGCCAGCTCCTGTGTTCTACGAATCTGATTTGATATGAAAGGTTTAAGTGTTACTGGATCCTTCCTCAACCAACAGAATACGATCGCTGAGTCCGACCACAGATAGTAGGGAACGTCAACTAATCGCAAAGAATATCGCACGTTCTGGAAGAAGGAGCGCTGCCGCAAGCTCTAAGCGTGGAATGGTAGCAGTTTTGAGTTATGCCAGTTTGGTGCGTGCCGTCAGAAGGGTGAAACGCGCCGAACCGTTTGTGTTCGACGTTCGAAGATCTTCAGGCAATGGGGAGTCCCAGGATAGACCCGCAGACCACAGTCGCTGAATGAATATTTTCCCAGTTAGGATAACAGGCGATAATAATCCAGTAGGATCGAAGAGTCATGCCACCTCGCTGAGTACCCGGCACTTCGTTGGAATTTCTACTCTTTGGCATAGATCGACGCGAAAGAGTAACTGATCTTTCAGTGCGTCCCCTCTTAACGGAAACTTCACCAGAATGGAAAATATAACTAGAAAGTGACGGCTCATTAGATAAAAGCATCATCACCTAACTATGGTTCGGGTTCCATTTCCTTAAGGTGAACTGTCCCGCAGATAAGATGGCGTCCACGTTCTTAGCCAGCTCCACGGCTTCAGCAACGCTTTCACAACTTGTTAAGAAGTTGTCAACATAAAACGAGGTTAATATCGCAGTTCGAGCACGAGTCGCTTGTTGTATGTCGGGAACCACACCGGAATTATCACAAGCACATTGTTGTAGGGTTCGTACTGCATTGTACGGACTGCATGCCTTGCCATATGTGATGGTCTTCAGGCGATACACCCGGATCTCATCTTCAGGAGACTCTCGCCATATTATTCGTTGATAGTCGCGATGACTACCAACACTTGCCTGAACATCTTCTCTATGTCCGCAGTTATCGCCACCCGATAGCGACGAAAACGTAAAAGTATACTACTCAGTGAATCCTGAAGTGTTGGACCTACCAGTTGAACATCGTTCAGTGAGATTCCAGTGATGGTAGGTGCCGAAGCGTTGAACATTACGCGGATCTTCGTTGTGACCACGTGACGAGGAATGTAGTAGCAATTAGTATGATCGTAAGGTGTTTGTACTAGTTCCATATGTCCGGATGCTACATACTCCCTCATAAATGAAATGTAGTTTTCCTTAAGGACTGCATCCGCAACCACGCGACGCTCTAGTCTATGGAATTGCCGTAACGCCAGTGCGTAAGAGTCACCTAATTCCGCTGCCTCTCGTCGCAAGGGTAAGTGTACAATATAACTGCCGTCTAAGGTACGGCTGTGAGTGGTCTCGAAGATCTGCCGACATTCATTCTCTGGCAGATCGTCAACCACTCCATTTGCCAAAAGTTGGACATCAGTTCCTCCAACCGGTGGTCCTCCCTGTCTAGCGAAGTGGTGAGTGTGAGCAATAATTCCTTTACAGGAAGGGTCACGGATGCTGCATTGCATACGGTCGGCGTCGTTGTAGATGAAAGCGTTGACGTGTTGTTGAACTTGTCTCAACATAGGATTGTGTTTTGTTTACGACCACAATTTCGACAGCTACCAGATGCACACTGTCGATAAGAATGACCCGTACGTAATCAGTTGTAACACATTTTCAGTATCTTTAGGGCTTCAAACCGTTGCTCTATACTAAGAGCCAATAATGTAGGATACTGATTCAAAAAGTGCATTATGTGGCCCAATCTCGGAGAACGTAGCTCCTCCAACCAGATGATTATGGTTCCCCATGAGGCGCTGAAAATACGATTCAAGCGCCTTGAGTTCTTGTTGAAAGAGAAACCCTCCATGGCACTTTCCGAGACATGTGCATGTATGCGCTTTATTGCTTTCACTACTGATGTACACCAAAATGTTAAATAATTAATTTCCCAGCGAGTAGCGTTCTCAATGCTTTATTTTGATTTGTACGACATCAAACCAGAGATGAGTACAATCAGCACCGAGTTACAATCAGAGAAGAGCATCGTACACACATGTCCCCTGACATTTATAGGAGTTCAACGGAATTTAAAATACCATAACTTTAAATATGCATAAACAAAGGTAATTATAAAGGGAATAAATGATAATGGAGAGATCACATATATAAAACTTACATAACACAGTATTGCCAGATCAAAACTTGACATTATTAGAAAATAAACTTAAACTAATGTAAATAATCCTAAACACCGATGTTGGGCCGACCAGGGTTTATTTGAAACGCGGCCGAAAGCAGTCAAAGCACAAAAGAGTTGTCCGTGAATAAAACTAGGGACACCCCGGTGTTGGACCGAACCGGGTAATTTTTTTAAACGCAGCGAAATTTCTCAAAAGCTTCAAGTTTTCCGCGGATGTGGAAAACATCCTCTATCCGATCATACCCATTATATCCCCGAAATCTTGGGACGGTATTCTCCTGAAATAAGAAAATGATCTGAGAGGGAATGTGAAACATGCCGGGCACGACGTACATGTGATCGGTATGACGGCTTTTACACACAGACTCTCTTGCAACCCAAACCGGGGTATTGTGGGCGAGGGGACCACGAGGAAAGACGAAGGGACCGTACTACTCGTGTTCGGGTGGCCCGCTTTGTGTTCTTGTTCGTAACAGCTCGCTGCTACCCTTATGAGCATTCCTTTTCACTTTCAAATTCTTTGAACGGTTGCAAGAGCGCTTGGTTTCAAATGAATTCGTTCACAAATTTGAATTCCGTTATCTACTTTTTTGTATGTAATATGCAAATATGTATGCATAGAATAATAGAAATATTTTGAAATATTGTAAATAAAGAGAAAATTAAGATATAGATTATGGAGTGAAGAAATTATGAATTTTTAAAACTTTAAGATTAGGAAATTCCTGTTATAAATTTGGCCTTGAAAATATTAGTAGCGGATATTCAATACATTCTGGTGGATTAGGGAATTCCCGTCTTAAGTACTTTTTTGAAACTATTAAGCGGGTAGGTATTATGCATATTGTTCTACCATATTTATGGTAATTCATTGCAAGCCAAATGTGTGATCATCATCTCAACATACAAATGAAATATGCAACACACTCTCAGTGTTGCGCAGTCTAACCCCACAAATATTTACGAAAATTTTGTGAAAAGGAATGCAGAAAAACTAGACTCGAGTTGCTGGACTTTTTTTGCCCGTGTGAATACACAGAGCGACACCAAAAGAGAATTTGCCGAAAACGAGGGTCAAAAGAGTCTGTGTTAAAGCCGCCTATGTGCACAAATCAAACTTACTCGTGTATGGCCTGTGCACTCTTTTGCAAAACAAAGTGTTGCAAATTAAAGTAAAATTTATTAGAAACATATGGATGTTTGGATGAGTCATTGTCTACAGTTGTACAGTCAGATACGTACAAATATTAGTATAATAAATTTACACGAGAATTATACATAGACGAACGCCAAATGTATCTGTTTGTTTAGTGAAAAGATTTCATATCGATCGAAAGCACAAATCTGTCGCAAATGGCTAGTTCTACGGGATGGGCAAAACTGAAAGAGAAATAGCCGATAGCCGAGCAACTAATATTTCTGTGCGTGAACGGGCTCGAAAGTGATCGATTGTATCGATTTTAACGAATTTTATAGCTCATCTTGATTGTTTTGTCTAACCACCTTTACTTAATGATTAGTTAATTGGAAGTGTAAATTTTTGTGTATTCCTTAGAAAGTGGTAGGGTATGTTTAAGAACACCTTTCAATCAGGGTTTCTTTCGATTTTGTATAGCATCGGAAGTAAACCTTTGCAAATATGGGACAAAAAAGTGCGAAATGGACATATTAAACGTATTACTGACAATGATATTCAAAGCTTAGTGTTAGAAATTGTCGGTACAAATGTAAGCACCACATATGTAACGTGTCCAGCTGATCCGAAAAAAACTTTAGGCATAAAACTGCCATATTTGGTTATGATAATTAAAAATTTGAAAAAATATTTTACCTTTGAAGTTCAAGTAAGTAAGTTAATTAATTAAACATACTATAATTGTAAATTCGTTCTATTGCTAGGTTCTGGATGATAAAAATGTACGTCGCAGATTTCGAGCTAGTAATTATCAATCAACAACCCGCGTCAAACCTTTTATTTGCACCATGCCAATGCGTCTTGATGAAGGTTGGAATCAAATACAATTTAACTTGTCTGACTTTACTAGGAGGGCGTATGGAACGAATTATGTGGAAACTTTACGGGTACAAATACATGCGAACTGTAGAATAAGACGAGTGTATTTCTCTGATAGACTTTATTCCGAAGAAGAGCTTCCACCGGAATTTAAACTATTTCTACCCATTCAAAAACCACAAAAAGCTAACCACACGGCGTGTAGTTGATAAATTATTATTTATTTAAAGCAACGGTATTTTATATTGGAAACCTTTTTACTATATTAAAATATAGGCGAAGCTATTAGGGCGAACATAAAAGCATAAATCAAGCGAGATTGACATTGGCATAATTCATATTCACTAATTTTTATTATTTTGGAGTATAATCCAAACCTCCATATAATTTTAATTTTAATATTGTCTGAGCTATTGCTAACAAATGAGACAGAAACTTTATAATTCCTAATGTGAGGCGACTAAATTATAGCTTCTATCATAGCAGCATTTGACAGTATTGCTCCAACTTGTTCAAAATCGTTCACTGAAATAAAGAAAGTAATGATGTTCTTCGAAATTTGAAATGGTTATGTTTAGAATGTAGATTACGTTCGTCGTGAAATTACTAGATTACTGTGGCTTATATGCTTCAGTTTTTCAAGTTGATAAAATTTTATATAATGTAAATGTTTGTATAATGCACCAGGAGAATCACATGTGAAATTTGGCTTACATTTACTTCTATGTTTTTATAAATGCTTATTTTACTGATTTTAATCTCATTATCGGAGTTAGTAATTTCCACTCGGTTCCCCCTAAACCTATATCACCCATATAGGTACAAAATAAAATCTCAATAATTTCCAAAATTCAAAAATAACAATATAAAAATTACATCATATAAAAAAAAATTAAAATTTTATAAACAAAATATCACAATTTATATAATACAAGCTGTTAGGCAGCAAATATTTGTAATAAATAAATAAATATAATTAATGCCTAATATTTATATATATAGAAAATACCGTAGATTAGATTAGATTAGATTAATTTTGAGGTATGCACCGCCACCTATGGTCTATTGTTCCCTCCCCTAAGTCATATCGTATCATCTAGGCCCAGCATGTTGATAAATTCCAAAATTCTGCTGGGTGCTAGTGAGGCGATACAATCCCTGTGTGGAAACATGGATCCCAGGGCCTTGATTCTGCGACTGTAGACTGCTATGCTGTTCATCAACAGATGTTCAGGGGTTTCTCTATGTCGCAGAACCGGCAGTTTGCCGAAGAGGCTATACCCATGTTGAAGAGGTGCTTCTTGTCCTGCAGTGGCCGATGTAGAATGCTACCAGTAGCCGAAATTTGCTCCTTGGGAGATTAATTATGGCTTTGAACCGCTTGAGGTCGTAACCCCCCATTAGCAGTCTGGCATGGGGCATGCCCTGGAGTTGTTGCCCTGCCTGCTCTTTCCTCCCTACGGAGGAGCTCTTTGATGGTATGTGGACCAACCGCTATGAATGGTTCCGGTCCTATCCATAAAATACCTTATACCCAGTTTTCAGTAATAATTAATTATTTAGTTAAAACTATAAGAACGGAATAGCTAAGGTTTATATTTTTACATATATGGGAAAAAAATTCAAAAAACAAAGTTTACACACATATGCTTCCGTAGGGATTTGAAGATCTTTTACCATCTAAGTCTTTTAAGTACTCTGCGGCGTTAAATGAAATGAAATTCGGTTGAAATATCTTTTTCTTCTATATATGAAAAGGGTTGGGAGCAAGGTGTGTCTTATAAATTTTTAAATAAAGATAACTGTAGAAATATGCACATGCGATTTCTTTTAAAAAGTCTACTTCTAAATCTAACTGAATTTTCTCTTACTGCTATCCAATTAAAAATATGGCCTGGTCGTTATAGACCTTGAAATTCTTGCCAAGAAAGATCCCGTACCACATTGTTATTGCACAGACTTACTATTATCCGGTGAGACTGCAACTGAAAAATTTTCGTTTTGTTGAACGGGTTCGAAGTTTCCCTTCACTACGATATTGGCATATCTTAATCCCTAAGATTTTTTGAAGAGGTTACAAAAAATGTAAGGTGTAGTCCTTACACTTCTTCAACCTCCTCTTTTAATGTGTCCGGAGTAGTGTTCTAAATTGTCCCGGCAAAGTCTTCTCGTTTGTAGGTTAGAGAAGCCTGACTGTGACAAAAACAGGCACAAACATATTAAAATACTAATTCGAAATTCAACCCTTAATATAATTGAAAGAATTTGTTATGTCAGATCCATTTTCTTCTTCTACTCTAATTGTCTTGTGGACCACGCACCAAACACTCCATTCCCATGGGAAGTTTTCCAAGCATAACTGGCTGACGAGCTGACCTACTCTGCAATCTTTTGTCGCGGTTGGTCCGCCCACCATTAAGGAGCTAGTACGAAGTGAGAAAAGAGCAGGCAGGGAGAGACATTGGCAACAACTTCAAGGCATGCACCATGCCAGGTTGCTTATGGGGATTTACGTCCTTAGAAGATTTAAAAATGTAATCAATCTCCTAAGAAACAAGTTCCGGCTACTTGCTGCATTCAAGACTGACCATTGCAGGCTCAAGAAGCATCTTTACAATATGGGTTTGACCTCTTGTGCAAACTACCAGTTCTGCGACATGGAGCCGGAAACCCCAGAGCACCTGACTGCGTAGCAGTCTGCAGAGGCTGAATTAAGACCCTTTGATCCATGTTTCCTAATAGGGATCACATTGCCTCACTAGCACCTAGCAGTATATTGAAGTTCATCAATGTGCTGGGGCTAGGTGAGTCGTTGTGACTTAGGGGAGGGCACTATAGACCATAGGTCGCGGTGTATACCTCTATTTAATCTATCTATCTTAAAATTCTTACTGTCTCATCTAAAAATTTTAACTGGTCGTCTGACCGCCAAAATATTTTTTTGTTGTCAAAAATGCTTCAAAATTACTATTGACAATATCAAACAATTATTTAATAATATAACAAGTCCGCGGTACTTAAAAATCGAGCATTAGGGCACGACAAAAGCCCTGAACTATATGAAGCGATCATCAGAAGCTGACGTATCGCTCATAACCTGGGACGATAGCTTCACATTCATTTTCTGAAAGCTATTCGGAAACATATGTGCTTCAGACAGCTTAAGACACAACGCACGTTATTTTGGGAAACTTTATTATAAAAATAAATAATCTCATCCCAACTTACCGAACGCGATTCAAGACTGGCTTTAATTTTGGAATTTTCTAAACAATTCAGAGTGCTTTTTAAAAGGTGGGGGCTATCAAAAAAAAAAAAACAATATATATATATCCTTGCCATTGACCTGAAAATATGGACGCTCTTCTGTCACTTCTAAAATCCTAGATAAATACACAAAGTTACATCCCTGGTCTGAAAAAAAATGACAAGGTATGAGCTGTTTTGGCAACATCCTTTTTACAGAATCCATGGACAATGAAATAGGAAAGTGGGTGTGACCAAGGCATTCCACCAATACCTTGAACCATAAGAGTCATTGCGCTATTACCTATTCGCGACGGGCGTTTTTTATCGCCGTTCTCCTATAATTTTACCGAATTTAGGAACTCTTATATCCTGTGTTTGTGCGTCTTCGGCTACAGGCGCTAGTAATAATAGGTCTTCCGAACCTAGGGAGTTCTCGACTATTTTGGTTGCAAAATCGAATATGTCTCCCGAACCTAAGGGGTTCTCGACTATTTTGGTTGCAAAATCTAATATGTCTAATTTAATAGTCGAATTAGGCTCCACGAATTCTACCTGAAAACTGGGTGCAGTTGGTGACAGTTTCTTCATATATTTCACATCATCAGAGAAGTGACGGTCACAGGCATACAAATATTTTTGATGGTTATCTCCTACCCCCAGTCGTTGCATCCAAAGAGTGTACTTAAATACAAACAAATCTACTCTAACCTTAACTTATAATACTGTGACGAACATAGATGATAGAAAAAAATCGAATGAACGATAAACTGCCAGAAGCAACTACTTAGCGAATTCGTAGTTGCCAGAATGTTCTAGAACCAATGTTTTCTTACAGATTTACTATATAAGGGCTGCCGGATTGTGCAGCAAACACAGTTCTAGTTAAAGTGTTGTCGTGATAAGAGCAGTTAAGTTATAAGCAAGAAGTTGGAAGCTCGAATAACGAGCAATAAGTTTTAGGTTGTTGGAATAAGAAATAAAGATAAGTGTGTAGCCATTAAATTGGGACTTTTATTTAACAATCCAGTGATCGAACTCAAGAGTGAGTTACAGGTAGACGATTTATCGAGAAATCCGTTACAATACTATATTTTAAAATAAAAATCTACTATAGGCTACCAACAAAACTAATATTGCAACATTTATAAGTATTAACGATACTTTCTACTCACATAACATTTATTTACACTTATATTTTATAATTAAAGTTCTATATTTATCTACGCTACTCAAAACAATATATTTAAATGAATTTATTAAATATTGAAATTATATTTTCTATGTTATATTACAAATAGCAATTATGCTATATTTATTATTATGCAATAAATTGAATGTAAATTATTATTAACACCTTAAACACTTAAAAAAAAATCACTTCTAATTTGAACAAAATAATTATATTTTTCTTAATTTTCATTAAAATAATTTACGAACCTGGATCCATCCTTCTGCTTGTTAGAGAAATTGAAAAAACGTCGCGCTCCTACGCACCCAGTCACACACGTTAGGAAAACATAGTATATCTTAGTACATATATTTGCTACGGCTTTAATAACATCCTTACCAATTTTATTTTATATAAAAACATTTATATATCATGTAATTTAATAAAAACAATATTGCTGCTTCAGCATAAAAATTTCTTCTAAAAATAATGAACTGATTTTGTCAGTTATTTTTAACGGGATTTTATATGGCAGTTAATTTTTTTGCTTGTCATCTGATCAGTAGCTCATGAACTTTCAGTGCTGCCAAAGAAACCACGAGCTCATGAGCTTTCTCAAAAAGCAAAGAGGGAAGTTTCGGATCATTTTATCCAAGCCTCTGAGTATTTGAAATCATGACTCCTACTACATTTTGTTATCGGTTTCAATTCTGATTCCGACAACTATCAGATTGTCAACTTTGTTGCCCATATCATTGTATAAATCTACAAGTAGCCAAAGAATCAGCTGTTTTCCTATGTGTGTGAAACAGCCGTGATCGTCTGATCGAATATGCCTTTTTTTGACACAGAGTTTTAAATAAAAGGATGTAGTTTAACAATTTGTTTATGAACATGTATTTTTAATGGAAATAATAATGAACACTTTCAAGAATATTTTCGAAACAAAAGATTTTTATATATATATTGCTTTTCCTCACCACTTCTGGGGTTGCAATATAGGCGCGTTATCGATCTTTTTTGGGTGTTCGGTTCCCCAGGAGGCCTTTATTCACCCATATAATATATACAGTTCTAAGACAATCTACTTTTCATAACAATTATAACTCGAAAAGATATATACATAAAATCAGGTACATGAATCAGGT